TTAATGCATGTGTGGTGTGTGTGTGTGTGTGTGTGTGTGTGGTGTGTGTGTGTGTGTGTGTGTGTGGTGTTTGTGTGGGTGTGTTGTGTGGTGTGTGTGTGTGGTGGTGGTGTGTGTGTGTGCGTGTGTGTGCATGTTGTGTGTGTGTGTGTGTGTGTGTGTGTGGGTGTGTGTGTGTGTGTGTGTGTGTGTGTGTGTGTGTGTGTGTGTGTGTGTGTGTGTGTGTGTGTGTGTGTGGTGTGTGTGTGTGTGTGTGTGTGTGTGTGCGTATGTGTGTGTGTGATCTTGTGATCTTGTGCGTATGTGAATTCGCACTCGCATCTTTATTATTTTGCTCTAAGTCTATCTTGCCTTGTAGCATAGCATTCACAGGAAAGACCCCCTAGCAAAGCGAGAAACGATGCTAGACCTGCGATCATCTTATAGAACTGAGCAAATCGTAAGCATAGACCGAACTGATCGATTACGTAGCAATATTTAGGTATTGAAATACGACACATGGAAACCGCATGCCGTGCCAGAATGTTGATAGCATGGGCCGCTTTAATTAATCAAAAGGTGATGTGTGCGATACAGTAGCTGCGGCGACAGACAAACGTGTGTGCTGCTGCGATCTATGTCATGTCGTATGTCGCTGAAATTACGAGATCTTGTGTTACTGTTTCAGGATGGAGCTGTATGGTGTCAGAGAACACCTATGTGTTGCTAGTGAATGTTTGCGTACTTTGGCGAACGCCGATTCAAGGCGCTCGCATTCCCCTCCTGCTGCCTCAGGTGCCCCGTGCTAGGGAGGCGGCCGCGGGGGCCAGAAGGGGAGGAAGTAGCAAGGAGAAGATTCTGAGAGCCGCCGGCGCCAGGTCGGCCGCGCCGGGGGAACGGACTGTGTGGAGTGCTTTTGACGAGTGCCAATCGCTGGTGCGGCACACCATTCCAACGGGCGACCATCCGCCTATCAGGCAGGCGCCGAGACGCATCCCGCCTCACCTCAGAGACGAGGTCAAAGCTCAAATCGATGACCTGGTGGAAAAGGGCATCCTGAAGGAGGGTAATGGTGCCCGGGCCAGTCCAGCGGTGCTGGTTCGCAAACGCGGTGGGACCGGACTGCGTATCTGTGCCGACATGCGCACAGTGAACAGCATCACCCAAGGCCCGGCCTATCCAGTCGCCAGAGTTGGTTTGCTCAAACAGGTGAGCTGAACCACTGCATTCAGCTGTGCGGCGGCAGGCGCAGGAGGCTAGTGGCTCATCACAATCGGTTGCAGCCGCGTAACGAAAACGCTGCCGAGCAACAGTCGCCGTCGGCAACACCAACACACCCGCCTGCGCCGGCCGCGGAGCCGCACAGCCAGACGGCACAGTCGCAGCGTTAGGTGCCGACTCAAACAGTCACACCGCCACCGACCGCACCGATGTCCACAGACGGACAGCAGACAGCTGTACTGGCTGAACCAGCAGCACCATTTTGTGTCTGCCAGTGACGCAGGGGACTGACGTGAATGGGTGTCCGCCTCAGTAGGCTCAGGCCGCGAATCTCGCTCCAGCCCGAGCCGCGGCGGCAAATTAGTCAGCAGAGGCCGAAGCTGCGAATCTCACGCCAGCCCAGGCCGCAGCTGAACGGCGTGACGAGCCGGCAGCAGCAGCGATACCGACCCCTACCCCGGCGCGCAGGTCACGTATCCACGTCACCACTGTCCCTCCGTAACCTGGTGTGAATCAATGAATCACTACCAAGTCTGAGTCCCCATTTGAATGTGTCCAGGTCCCGGATCCCAGTGTCTATAGGGCAACCGTCTTCGAACGTTCATCGCGAACAGCGGACCGTCCGAGTCAGACTGCATCCAGATCGATTTAGCCCGTGATCGCGATAGCTGTGTGCATAACAAGATTAATGGTGTATTTGTATTGTTTGCGTTGACATGTTGTTTAGGCTAGTTGCAATGACGTGACGGATATTGCTTAAGAGCCTCTCTTACTGTGCACGTTGAGTTAGGTTCTTGAGATGTCTTTATGATGTCATGGATTGTGCATGCAGTGTAAGGTGTCAGAAAACACCTATGTGCTGCTAGTGAATGTTTTCTTACTTTGGCGAGCGCCTCGAAGAGGCGCTTGCATTCCCCTCCTCCTGCCCCAAGCGCCCCGTGTACGGGACGCGGCCGCGGAGGCCAGGAGAGAGGGAGTAACGAGGAGAAAACTCGGAGAGCCGCCGGCGCGAGGACGGCTGCGCCGGTGGGACGGACTGTGTGGAGTGTCTGTGACGAGTGTCAAATACAGAAATGATTTTGCAGGTACTGAGTGTACCAGTGAGCCGGAGGCGAGACGCCAGAACAGCATAACTTACAGAACAAACGAAATGATCGAAGGGACCCTGGCTGTTGGTATAAACGAGTAACTTCCCTTTGATGTAGTCACACAGGGACTCTCAAATCTGTAGCTCGATATTATTAACCACTGAATACCAATACTTCCCTTGTGCTAGGATCCAACCCGTGCCTAAATCTTCCATTTTTCTTTGCCATGCTTAGCCTCCACAGTATAGCAACAGAAAGCTGCCAGGAAATCTAATACAAAAGTGCCGCGATGAAGACAACTGAAACGGAGGCTCGATAGGCGCCCTAATCCAAGGTACGACAATACCAGGTGAATTCGGTCATTGGTTGCGGCCGCCAAGTCGCCTGGAGCGTTGTCGCCGGCTCAGATTTGGCTGTCGCCGCTCTTGACGCGGCGTGCGGTTTTTGGGGAGTGAATTATCTAAACTCATGCTGATAGTGGCTGCTATTTTGCTGATGCTGTGTAACCTACTTGCTGGTATAAAAGTTCTTCAGAATTACATTGATGTGCTATAGTTGCAATAAATAACTGGTGCCTTTATCCTTTCTGAGTGTAATGGACCGGATTGGAATTGGCACCAAATAGTCCATTCATTTGAGTTGCCCTACAACCTAACTCATCATGGATGGAATATAAAAAAATGTGTGTTGCATTGACCAAAGTCAATAATTGACCATCATTTGCACTTATTGCAGGTTGAAATAGGTTAGTGATCTGTATGGCAACTGAAGAAGTAAATGTGGTGAATGATGCACTTGCTATCTTGTGATACTTCAGACTAATGCAACAACTTTAGGTGTGTAGGTGTGCTTGAGATTGTTGTGTGTAGTATGTAGCAGTATTATTGCTGTTAGTAAAGTTGATAAAAGTATTAATGCTGAATCAGAAAAGAAGGAACAGAGCCGCAAAAGTTGCCTAAAGTGATATCAGGAACAGATAATGGACATGGCAGTAGAGGCAAGGCACAGTGCATCTACTTCAAAGAAATTTAGTTATACAGGTCATGATTCAGGAGCACAAAATTTAAGTTTTAAAAATTTCATCTGTGCTTAGAACAAGACTGTGAATAAATTTGGTTGGGCAGCAGGCATGGTAAATGATGTAACTCATTGATTATCCTTCACCTTCACCACCTTCAAAATGTCTACAACAGGAACAAATAACTATAAGGTAATATACTACTGACTGCTACTGATAATGATAACTATAAGGCTAGCATTCTCAGTTCTTTTCTGGGGACTAGAGCTTTAGGTAAATGTGATTTCATGGATTTGTTTTGTTGGATGCCTTACTTGTCACTGAATGCTATCATCTTTGTGAGTAATATTGTAAGCCACTCTGCAAATCTGTGGACAAAATATATGTATATGCTTTTAACCATGCTTTCATGGTGACTCATGAAACATTTTAATGGCTCTGTATGGCCAGAGTATGCAGAGCACTGCTTTGGGTTTGTCAGAAGGCTGCCACCAACTGCAGGCCATCATGGCCAAGGGTGGATAGGGAGTGTTTAGCAAAGCTGAATCTACCTGCCCTGCTGACAGTTAGGTTAGGCTAGGCAGGGTCAGGTCAGGTCAGGTCAGGTTAGGTTAGGTAAGCACCCTAATTGACTGAGCTGTGAAGGTGGGCAGGCACACATTGCATCTGTTGGTGTTCATTCACAACATAGTTCCTGTACTGGCTCCTAGAGGCAGTATTTTCCCTTGTAATATGTCTTGATGATACTTCCTCTTGGGTTTGGGGTGAAACCCTCAAAATTGAAGAGAAATTACACAAAATAAAAAGGTGAGAAAGAGCCATGTTTTTGCATACTTTGGAGTACATTTTCCAGCTCAGTACCTAACCTATATGACAAAAATGAGCTCCTGGGTGAGGTTTGTGTCACCTACAGCGGTACCTTGTCATTGACCATAGCTTAAAGGGAATGTTCCACATTTATATGGGTGTTTTTGAACTGAAATGACCACCTGGAAGACCTTTTGGCACAGTTCACAACCCTGTCCTTTTTAAGACCTAAACCACTGTAGTCTCTGAGCTGCACACCCACAAAAATGGGGGAGTATTTCAGGCAGAGTATTTTAAGGTCTTCTTGACATCATGAGAACATCATTCAAATCCTGTCATTCCATTAACCATGTGGCAGATCAAGGCCAAGAAAAATATTATTGTTGAGTCATTGATATCTGGCATTCAAGAGCACAATTTCCAGATATAAGAGCAGTTGACTGGCTCTCAATCATTGTCATGCAAGGTACAGTGATGCAATCAAACAATGATGTATCAAAGTGCATATCTACCAAACAGAAAAGTCATGTGTGGGCAATATTTTCTCCTTAAATGCATTCAGTACTTATAAGTGACCCTATTCATCATACCCAGTGCTTATTTCAATATCTTCTAATGTGAAACATACCCTTTAACCCATCCATTTAACCTGATTCAAAGTTTTTTTTAATAAAAGGTTTGCTTGTGAAGCCATATTTGACAACCTCAAAGGCTACTGGCCTTAAAAACATGTGGAGATGGTTGGGGGTTTCTGGGCTTGTATTGATAATGGTCTTGGAGCTGGGTGAAGGGAGAACTGTTGGATTGGCAAGCTGCTTATTTACACAGAACATGACAGGTGGCAAAAATTGATATATGTAAACTTTGAGTGGTCACTGGATTTTCCACCACTTGACATGCCACATGGAAGCAGGTGGTCTTAGCATTTAATCATTTGCAACATTTGATGATTTGTTTATATTCTTTTGTTGGTTATTAGGCTGGTTGCATATATATTATGTATAAGTGGCTTACAATTATCAATGCTTTCTCTAGGTCTGCCTCAAGTGTCATCAGGTGAGGTGTGTACTGTACAGGGTGTGTGTGTGTGTTAGTGGGAGAGGGGGGGGGGGGGGGTAATATCTGCCACCCTGGAAGAACATGAGCCATGGCTGCTTAAACACCTAGAGGCATTGGCGATGATAATATGGTCAAATGCCAGGGGGTTGCTTGGCTAAATGGGCTTGCAGGTTTCATAAAGATCTGTTTGTGAAGGTGGCTAAGTGTGTGCTGCTCACAAACTTGCAAAGCATTCCAGCAGTGCAAGTATACAACTTCAGTTTCTGATAAATTTTCAGATTCTACTTGCATTGATGTCCACGGATTTTCGTCCTGTTGTCAAACTTGTGCTCAGTGCCTCATTTTTTCAGCATGTGCCAAATTTCTTATTTGTTGTCAACTGTTTGCAATCCAATGAGCAAAGCATACAAAGAGTCAGCCTTGGTCGTCAGGGATGCAAACTTCATTTAGTGTTGAGGCATAACAGGACCTTCATGCTTTCTGTGAGAGCAGCTCAAACATGGTCCGTAAAAACTGGCTAGAATCGTGTCCCGCTTGGGGTGAGTCAGATCCGAATTTTCCATGCCATAATTTCCAGGCTACGGTAAACTTGGAACAAGTCATTTCGACTACCTATGGGGCACATTGTCATGTTCGCCTTGCTACTCCAAATGCCAGGCCGGTGCCGAATGTCAACGGTTGCGGAGAGCGTCCTTCGACAGGGCCGGCTGCTTGCGTTTGCGCTTGACCGCGGCAGTTATCACAGCTCGCGGCAAGTGTTGACGTTCGGGTCGAGGAAAGATAAGGTGCGACGAGCTGGCTGATAAAAGATGATTGTCTTTGTAGTGCATTTTCACTGCATTTTCCGACTGCGCCTCCCTCTCCTTGTCCCCTGTAAGTGTAAAGCTTACCGCGGTGCGGGTTGAACCGTGGATGTTAATCGTTCCGTTCCAGTGGGACATTCCTCCTTTGGTCCACCGTTGGAAACATGAAAGCAACATGAAGTGTGTGTGTAGACCTACGTTATGAGTTATGTGTTTAGCGTGTCTTTTTCGGACTGCGTATGCATAGCACAAATTCAGCTATGGGGCATCATGTAGTGTCACATTGCATTGAATTTACTTGCAACATGTGAAGCATTATGTACCACATAGTGACTTGAACTGGATTTGGCTGTGCTCATGATCTGTCTAATTTCTTTGCATGGTGTTAGGTATCTTTAGGCGTGTTGATATACGCGCACCTGATTGGTAACACTGCAGCTGGCCATAGAAGGAGTAGTAATGTATAACACAGGCATGGTTGTGCGGTACACAAGCTCATAAAGTAATAAGTGGCCAGGCTGTAGCAGATGCACCAACATATTTTGGCTATGCTGTTGCATTAGTATGGCATGTCGCTTCCTGATATTCCGACCTGAATATAGACCATTACAACTGCAATTTGGTGATATGATGCACAAGAAGACGAAATGGTGGTGATGATTAAATAGAGCTTGGGGTGGCTAGTGCCATTTTGCTCATAGAAAGAGCCATCGTTTTGTTATTTTGTTCAACCAATATTTAATGAAAAATTAAACCAAACGTTTAAAGTAGAGGATGTGACAAACTATTTTAACGTGCGTCATTGTCAGCACTGATCTCTAATGTCTTGTGTGACCCTCCTCGGGCTTCCTCATCCCGCTAGTATAATCTTTATAAGAAACTGGACCAATGCAGAATCTTTACGCCATGCAGGACAAACCTGCTCGCTTGTCAGATTCAGCACATCTTAACACACGCTCGGGTGAGGGGTCAGCTGGATCCCCCATAGTTTTTTCCGGAGTGGTTTCCAAACAGCGCAGTAGCTGCGCCAAATTTTGCATATCTTGTGGAAAATTGAATAGCGGATCGTTTGGTATCCAAAATTGTGTACCTTGTAAGGTCGCTGACCCATGGTAGGTCAAAGTCAGCCGATGGTTTCAGCGAAGTCATTTTCTAGGGAATTGTTTAATTTGCTGCAACAACGGAGTGTTAGACGAGGCCATACATCTCTGGGATGCTTTCTTAGGCAACACAACAACTGAATGAACAATTTCATTGACGTATGGTCAGGCATGAAGGTCAGACGAAGGTCAAAACCAACCTGTTTTATTACTCTATGGCTTGCTGTATGGGATAGTTTCTGGTGCTCTGTTCGAATTTATTGATAGCAGGAACCGCATTATACATCTTCCATGAACTTCTTAGAGGGCAGATAGGCCATTAACCTAAAATGACTTAGGTCAACATTTTGTTTTAGGAGCATACTTCCTAGCGTAATCTTTGTCGCTTATTCAAATGCAAAATTCAGAGCTGTCCTGTGTGATTTTGCTTACCATGACCTTCAAAAGGTCAACAAGGTTACTGACCTTAAATGAGCACGTGACGATTTGCTTACAAACAGTTATCTAGGCTCTGGGGGCAGTTTGGAAACCAACCTGGAATTTTACATTGTTTGATCTTATTTGACTAGAAGGTCATGACCCAGGAATCTCAAACTTTGACCTAAGCGAGTTCACGAAACGGTAAAAATCCTATGAATTTAGCGTCTTTAGCTTTCTTAATTTCTGAGACCTCAGGGGGATTAAATTGACCCTCCACCCGAGCGGAGGGTATCCAGCCGGCCACCCGGGCGCGTGCTTAAAATGATTAAACACAGGAAAACTTGGTGTTAGAATCATTGGTTGTGCTGCTACGCATTTTATTGTCGCACTTTGAAATTTTTTACTTCCGTTGAATTATATTGGACATGTCTTGCAAGCATGCACGCCGCAGCAAATTGCCAACGGCGACATCATGTGGGTCAGCAGTTTTTTGATTGGTTGAAGCGAAAATACGGACTACTCGCAAGTGCCGCGACAAGTGGCCGGGGGCTTAGGGAGGGGAGACACAATTGATGGAGACGCGGCCAGGTACAGGTTTCGGTATTTTAACTCTATTTGCCCGCACTGTGGGAACACAGTTCCTCCTCGAGATCATTGCCCAGTAAATTTCTCCTGTGGGAAATCAGCACGCACACTGCGCCCGCGGGGCGCCATGCCTGTCGCGCCAGCTGTCCATGTACAAGTGCGTTTAATAGGGGATCACTCATATCTGACGTGTTATCCCTTCACTGTCGTAATGTGTGACTCATGCGGTCCTAACGTGCGGCTAATGCGGTCGTAATTTGCAGCATGTGTCCCACATGCCTTCCTGCCATTTTAACTCACGTACGGTGTGACCCGTACTTTTCTTTGCCGCGTGAAGATGGCAGAAAGATGCAGCCGCAGAAGTCACTCGCCTCACAGCTGTTGCGCAGCGTGGTTTGTTTCAGGCTGTGGTGATCCAATACACATATGTTAACACCCACAGGACTCCAGCCACATCCGGAGGCCGGTGCCAGCTCACAGACAGCGGTCAGCAGAACTGCCAGCATGTCCTTCAACACGGCTCTGCTGGATTTCAGTGTTGCCCCTGAGGTCATCACCAATCCAGGTACAGGCGTGCCTGGGTCATCACCGGCTCTGGCCAGCACCATCCTCCAGGTAATCGTAGATCGAGGCCAGGGTCTCTTCTGAGGACGTCACCAACCGTGGGCAGAGTCACTTCTGCGGTCAGATATCACCAGCTGAGGCTAGAGTCACTTTTGTGGTTATCACAAAACGAGGCTACAGTCTGTCGCATTGCGATCAGAACGCCGCGTCCCCCCGGATGTCACCCATCAAAGGATCATCTGTCCGGATCAGACGCACCGCTGAGGCTATACTCAACCCCGAGGGCATCACCAACTGAGGTCGGGGTCGCCCTGAAGTTCTCGCCAGTCCAGTCCAGTATGGCCTGCCGGGTCATCACTAGCCAAGGTCCGAGCGACTGTGATCATCACCACGGCAGGTTAACCCTCAGGGGCCATCTTCAGTCAGCCTCAGGTTTGCTCTTTATATGTGAAGAGTCGAAATATGCTTAAGGCGATCGCAGCCAGGCCGCAGCCATTTAAGAGTTCATCACAAATATTCACAAGGTTGAACACAAATATGACCAATGCATGCCACATCGTCCTCTGTCGTAGTCAGTTCACATCGTAATGATAACGCCAACTCCCTTTAGGGTCCATGCCGGTGAAATGTTTTACCTTTTTGATCAACATTTAACGCGTCATTATTAATTGAAGAATCTAGCGTTCCCTGCACGAAAGTATTTGTTGAGTCTGTCTTGCTTTTTTGAGGCGTAAATGTGTTTCCGTTTGGGGTTAAGACTACGCCACACCTAACGCCAAGCCGAGTCCACTGCACCATGGGTGCAGCAAAGTACGTCAGTTTGCTCGGCACGCACCGCTGCGGAGACGGTGGGCGTCGCACTTCCACCTCCGGTCGGCCCGTCAGAGACGAAAGTCCCGGACGCACCAATGCCCCCGAGCTGGCGCCGGCGCGCCGGCTGACCGCGCTCACGTGCCGCCCCGCCGCCGCCAGTGGAGAGCGCCACGCTGCACCAGCGGATCGAGGCGACGGTGGGCGCGGCGGTGGCCGGCCTCACGCGGCTGATCGAGGACCTGACGCCCAGCGGCGGCTTCCTGCTCAACTACTCAGCCGACGCTGAGACGTTCGTCACGCTGCGCGGCCACCCCAGCGGCCTCGTCTCGCTCCAGATCGAGAACTACGGCGAGGCCTTCATCATGGACAATCGGGTGCGGTGGGGCAGGGCGCTGACACGGCGGGGGGTGCTAGGGCGAAGAGAGCGAAGGGACGGGGCAGGGGAGGGAGCTGTGATGCAGTGGTTAGACAGGTGGGGTGGAAAGGGGTGTTTGCACATGGTTGTTGAGCTCTTTGAATCGATGATGAAGCAACGCAAGTGTTTTCCGGTGGGGGTGGCCTCCAAATGTGCAGCCCTGCTACCCGTCACTGTGGCTGCATTGTTGTATATATGACAGACTTCCATGGATCCTCAAAAGTCACGAGACATGACAGCCACGTGCCTCGAAGTCAAGGGATGAGCTCCCTCATGATCTTGAAATGCGAGACTTTCAATGTTTGTAATTCGAATGCACTGAACCGCAAAGAACCCATTCAAAACTTCCCTGGCAGTTGTCGTTGTCAATTACAATCCTTTCATATGCCAGACATGGGATGCAGCTCCAAGACCCTTCCGCCTGTCTCCTATCATTAAGCGCCCCCGACGCGAACCAGCCGCAGCTTTTCCGGTTTCCATGGTAACGGTTTTGAGGCACGGCAGGTCGGCCGCCGACACCAGCGCCCATTCCTTGCGCAATCCACATCCTCCCCAGTGGGCGGGGCGACCGTGCGCTGTGTGCATCTGGAGCCGAGCTGTTTACCCCGCTCACCGGCTGCGCACGGCTCCTGGAATGCCACCTGCTGTCTGCTCACTCTCGGCGTGTTGGCAGAACGCCGCTGACGGGCTTTGTCGGCTGGCGAACAGCTCGGCCCACCCCTGCTGGCCACTTTAGCCCCGCACTGACCTTTGGCTGAGAGCCGCAAGTTCCAAGGAAGCCCCGACCGGCAGGTGGTGCATGGTGGAGTGAGCGGCTTCCCGTTATTAGCTCGGCTTAGCCGGTCTGATCCGAGCCGAACCCACTGGGTGGCGCCCGTAGTGGGGTATACAGAAGCGCACGATTGGGATCGATGGGCGCCGTGTCGCTGGCATACTACGTAGTGTGTCCTGGATCCTGCCTGCACCGTGCACAGTGTTTCTCAATTATGGAGCACCGTCCGCGGTGCGTGTGCGGCGCACGACGTTGGCACAGAGTCGTGCACACGGTGCTGGGCCGCCGACTTTGGCTGGCGGTCGTTGGTTGACATGCGCCTTGAAAGAGGGGAAGCGATAAAAAGTTGCGTTAAAAAGCTTGTTTTCATTGTTCGAACACTTGCGTTCATGGGAGCCAAAATATGCATGCCTGTAGTCATGATTCAAGTGCCTTCATTATTGCCACGATGAGTAATTATCTCCGTTACTTCCAGCACACCTTTCCGCAACATTTTTGGGTCTGTTCCCGCCGCTCCTCCAACCTTCTCAAAGCCCCTCCATACTATTATGATCGTTCCCGTGGCTCCTCCAACCTCTTTCAAGCTCCTCAAATTTCCTGCATCCTCCAAAAATCGTCTCCGAAATGAAAGGTCGTCTTTTTCGGCGGATTTTTGAAGAGGGTTTGGGAGACATAAGTGCCGCAGTACCCATTCATATCCTTTTTTGACTCCATTGGTTGTCGCATAAGGGAAACAGAGCACGGGTGCATAAAATGGTGCAGGTATGCTAATTTAAAGTCCCTTTCGTGACATTAAACGTATCTTTTCTCAACGCTCAATGTTATTTTTCGTCATTGCGCCAAAACTGTTGGGGTGAGCTGCGCGCAAACAGCTGATGCCTCCTCCGAAATTACTCCATCGGCAGCAGATTTTAGCTCTCCTCCAACCTCCTCCAAACTTATCTCATCTACGTTTTTTTAGGAGTGACGGGAACATGCCCGTAATTTGTGTGTCTAAATTACAAAGTTCTCAAAGAAGGGACTGGCTCCGTACCATCCTGAACACCTATGTAGTGGCCATCATAGAGTAAGTAGGGAAAGCGGCACCTGTCTATTTTATTTACAGTTGCTTACATAAGCACTTAGACCTGTCGGTTAAAATCCGTGGGATCGCCTGTGGTACATCTAGGGCATGGGTGACGTCACTGGCCTGCTTGCAACACGCCCCGCCTCGACCAGTCATCAGCGGCTTGCGGTATTTAAAGCGCACTGTGCCCGTGACGTCAGTGGTAGAGCATCGGTCCGCGCTTACACGATCCCATTTCTCGATTTCAGTACGTCTCCATTACACGTTCTCGTGGTGCACTGGCTTATTTACAGCTGCGTCAGGTATGGCAGATCATTACCCTGGCAGCACTGATAACGGTAAATAAATGCACCGCGTGACGTCATCCCCACCGTCGGCGCGCCCTCAGCCGGAGGTGCCGACACCGAACCCCGGGGAGTCGACATCCAACGCCACCGCTACAGCTCGCGGGGTGGCGTGATATTTCAGTGCGGACTGCGGTGTCGCCCCCCCCCCCCCCCCCCCCCCGGCGGCGGCCGCTCTTCGATTACGTCCACCTTGCGTGCATACACAGCTCCCATATGTCGACCTTCTCTCGGGTTATTCGTAAGCGAGCTTCGTGTTTCCGCACCAGACCCCAGCGTGGTCTTATATGACCCCTCCTGGACGCGCAAGTCATGACCCCTGCATGAACCCTGTCATGACTCCTGCATGAATCCTGTCATGACCCCTGCATGAACCTTACCATGATCCTGCTGTAATCCTTGTCTGAGCACCTTTAGGGATAGATGTTGTGACTCGTCGTGAGCTCTGTTGTGACCTCTGGCGACCCTGCCATGACCCCTGACGTGACCCATTTTGCTACCTCTGGCGACCCCTGCAATGACCCTTGTTGTCGCCTCTAATGACCTCTGACCTGACCCATTTTATGACCTCTGGTGAACCCTGCGATGACCTCGCCGGTGAACCCTGCGATGACCCTCGCTGGTGAACCCTGCAATTACCTCTCGTTGGTGAACCCTGCTATGACCTCTCGTCACCTCGGGTGGCCCTGCCCTGATCCTCGTTGTGACCTCTCCTCGTGTTTGCAGGCCGTGCTGCAGCTGGAAAAGGACATCCGCGCCGAAATCGGCGCCCGGCGCGGCAAGGCGATCCTTCCTCTGAGACGCGGCAGGGACATCGACCCCTTCTACTACACCTCTGGTGAGGCCGCCCCCGTGCCGGACGCCAACAGGGGTGCTCAGGGGTGCGGCATTGTGTCAGCTCCCGTCGCGAGGCCGCGGGAAAGCGTCGTCCAGGCGCACGTGCGCGGCGCTGTGTTGATGTGTGCGGCGGCCCGTTGTCATGTTTTCAGGCGCTGTTGTTACTGCCTGTGTCTCGGTGACGGTCTTTGGTGTGGCGAGGGCCCCGTGTCCCGTCCGCCCTGACCGCGCGCGGCGCCGTCGCCGTCCGACGCCAGATGACCGGCTGGTGGAGTACGGCACGCTGGAGACGCTATTCGACGAGGTCACGCCCTACCAGCACGTGCAGGTGGTGCGCACGCGCGACTTCGGCAACATACTCGTCCTGGACGGCTTTCATAGTGAGTGGCCACGCTGGGACGGGGGTGCGGCGGATGCATGAAGTCGGAGGCCGCGTTGGTGTGTGACGTCACCAGGACGTGTGCGCGGCGGGTAGCCGAGATCTCCATAGTGCGATGTCATGCGAGACCATGGGTCGTTGGGAGATAAGCGCAGGCCATTGCGAGCGTAAGGTATGACCAACGCCTTCAGTCGTTATAGTATGAACTAAGGCGGCGTGACAGAAGTCACGGCTGTAATCACTATTGCGATTCAATGGCCTTGCTATTGGCATAGATAGGACAAAAGTAATAGCCGTATTCCTCGGAGAAAACCCAAGGTATTGGATATATACTTGGGTACAGTTGGGTTCTCCTGCTTTTTTCTCCGAGGAATAAAGCTATTACTACTGTCTTATCTATATGAAAAAGATTCCTCGCTAATGCACTGAACAGCTTAGGCCATGCCATCGATATGACTTGGGGCCCACATAGTTACTATTTGGGTGCATGTTCATGACATCTGCCTTTATTTGAGACTATGAGCAGTGGACCGCCGCGGGCCCGTAACCTGTTTTAGGGGAGACTTAAGTATAATATGAAGGCATTCCTTCTGTTTTATCTTTGCGCGGAACAGAAAACGTGCATAGGACATGCCACTACGGTCAGCACGCGGAATTGAACAGCTGGAGTGGCTTGAAGCCGGGCAGTGACGAAACTTGGCGCCGGTAATGGAGAAATGGCGAAAGTTACCCCGGCCAACCGTCGGAAGGCTCCCAACTCAGTTTAAATTGGATGTCTCATTCCCCCGTATTGCTGCCGATCTGGCCCGCGGCAGGCACGATCTTGCGTTTGAAGATCAGCGCAGGCGCGACCAGAACAGTGCCGTCTCGCCACCTCGTCTAGTCAATAGTTGTGGCTAGTGGCGGCGCAACGTACTACATTGCCTTCGCTGAATCTGTTTCGGGTCTGAACGCGTGGCGATCCGTTGCAACTGTGGCGATCCGGTGCATGTTCAGTCATGATGTGACAGAGAGCGGTTCTGCGGGTTAGGGATGCACCGTCGTCATCTGATGGGGTGGCGATGCACCGTCATCTGATGGGGGTAGCAATGCATCGTCATCTGATGGGGTAACGATGCACCGTCGTCATTCGAGCTCGGCTCGATCCCGACGGTGCTGTTTTGCTGTAGCACTATGGAGGACGCCCTGTCCTGATGCGACCACCAGCGGACAGGCGCGCTATGGAGGACACATCCGTCCTGATGCGACCACCAGCGGACAGACTGTTCGCCTTCAGCCCACCGGGCCGTGGCAGCTGACCGAAGCGACAGCACCCGTCCCGCGGCTGGGGCCACGGCCGCCCCGGGACCGGCGCCGACGGATGTCTGGGCCCCCTGCGCGCTCCGAAGCCGGCCGCTGACCTGACTGGCACCCCGCGCCGCCGCAGACATGTCGGAGAAGGACCTCGTCTACACGGAGACACTGATGGCAGCTGAACAGTACGAGGGCAAGACAGCGCTGATTCTGGGCGGCGGCGACGGTGGCCTGTTGTATGAGCTGCTCAAGCACAACCCCAAGTTCGTCACCATGGTGGAGGTGCGCTATCGGCGCGGTGTAGCCTGGCAACGCCCTTGGACGCTGCTTATCGCTTGGGCGAGTGCGTCGTTGCGAGTGCTTGCGCGGATGGGGTGAAGTGGGGTGAAGTGGTGTGGCGTGTTGTGGTATGGTATGTGTGGTGTGATGTGTTGTTGTATGGTGTGTGATGCGGTGTGGCGTGGTGTGGTGTTATGTGTTGTGGTATGATGTGTGGTATGGCGTGTGTTGTGATGTGGTACGGTGTGAGGTGTGTGGTGGACTGGTGTGATATGGTGTGGTGTGGTGTGGACTGATGTGGTGTTGGTGTGTTGTGGTATGGTGCGTGGTGTGGTGTGGGGTGAAGTGGTGTGGTGTGTTGTGGTATGATGTGCGGTGTGGTGTGTTGTATGGTGTGTGATGTGGTGCGATGTGTTGGGGTATGGTCTGTGGTGTGGTGCGGTGTGAGGTGTGTGGTGGACTGGTGTGGTATGGTGTGGCGTGGGGTGGACTGATGTGGTGTGTGGAGTGGGGTGGACTAGTGTGGGGTTGGTGTGGTGTGCGATGTGGTGTGGTGTGGTATGGTGTGTGGCGTGGTGTGGTATGGTGTGTGGTGTGGCTGTTGTGGTGTGGTGTGATGTGCTATGTGATGTGGTGTGATGTGCTATGGTGTGTGGTGTGATATGGTGCGGTGTGGGGTGTGGGGTGGGGTGGGCTAGTGTGGTGTGTGGTGTGGGGTGGGCTAGTGTGGTGTGGTGTGGTGTTGTGGTGTGTGGTGTGGCGTGTTGTGGTGTGGGGTGGGGTGGGCTGGTGTTGGGACAGGGGAGTTGGCGAGAGGAGATGCTATGTGACGTGACTGTATATGCATGCGTGCGTGTGTGTTCTGTGTGCCTTTGTTGTGTGTGCTTGTTTTCGTGTATGCGTGAACGTGTCGCGTATTTTTGGCTCGCGTGTCCTGAAAGGAGGCCTTGTTTGAACAGAGTCGTTTGGCCCGTTCAGCTGGTCTCGTGGGAAATAACTTCTGGTGTTGAACTCTCTCGAGACTGCCCGTGTGTGTTGTGTCTCGGACTTTGGATGGAGAGTGTTTGTATAGCTGAAGACAAGAGGGGGCTCAGTTGGTGGCGTGTACGCCCACTGCCGTGTGCAGAGTCGTGAGTTCGGGCGAGTATGCCGGATTGGTGTATCGCATTCCGTTTGTGCAATTGGTCTTGACCATTGCGTCTTTAGTGTCCCGGTAGTGTGTTGTGTATGTCCGTCCCGATGGCTCAGTTCGTTAGAACGTCTGCCCTCCGATCCACCCACCTGTGGGCTCGATTCACTTTAGGCGCTCGCTATTTGACCTTGATAAGTATGGCCTGCGGCCGGTGGCAGCAGTCGCACTAAAGTTCAGTTGACGTCAGAGAGCAGGACGGACCGTGCCGAGAATTACGGCACATTAAACTTTTGAACCAAATTCTGCCGCTGACATGGAATTGCACAATTGTGTGGTAGGGGTCAGGGCTCGCACAACAAGTACTGCTTAGCGTCAACTCTGATCACAGAAATCCATCCATTCCAAGGGCTTGGATCAAGTCTAAGCAAGACAAAGTAGTGAACACGCGAAGCGAATAGCTTCAAATTGTTACCCGGCTTCTATGAATACCGCTGCAGATCCCGGAGATGGTGTGGTGACCGAACTGCGCGACCTCGTCTTATGTTCATCGATACAGCTCGGTGCGCCTCGACACTGCGCCGATGTTGACCTATCGCCGGCCCGCGAACCCTCCGAGGCGCGCGCGACCACACGGCAAGTACCGCGGCGCCGCGGTGACCGTGGCATCGCGTGCCGGCAGATTGATGACGTGGTCATCCAACAGTGCAGGAAGCACCTGCGCACTGTCTGCGGCGACTGCCTGGACAAGTACGACGGCGACAACTACAAGGTAACACGCTCGGGTCAGGCTACTCGCGGTGATTAAAACTGGACCGCTGCTGCGCCGTGCCCTCGGCGACCATTTGTCGATATCTGTTCAGGACTCGCTGCCAGATATGAATGAAGCTCTTTAAGAAAAGTTTGGTCACCATTGTTAATCATTAACTCTATTTTCTTCGCGCATCACTTATGGTGGTTCTTGGTGTGTGTCCTTGGACGATAGGACCGGAATTTTCCAATCGACGCCACTTTCCCTGTCGTTATTTTCAAAGTTCGCAACTCTGCCGTGATATCAGCTTTTAATTCATCTGGCGTTCAGGGTATAACCATTCCCGCCTCCCGTCCTTTTCAGCTCGGGACTTGTCTGTTTCATCAGGTGTAATGATGACTCCTCCTGTGCCAACTCAGGCGTGACCAGATCTTGCAAAATAAAGTATCTCACGACATTCAACACGCTGTTACAAAGTTATCACCCGGGTGTTTCGAGCTTCAGTATCGTTGAGGGAGGGTTAAATGAAGCTAAAATGGTTGTTGCCGGTGCTAAGGCGCTCTCCGAAGTGTTACCGCTGTTCGAACCCATTTGCGGTGTTCAGGAGTTGGTTTAGACGTATTTGGAGCGCTTTGGTCGTGCTCATGTTTTGGGTATTTTGAAATAGCCGCCGAGTTATGCACGTTAGCATGCTGTAAGAAGTCGTTTCATGAGCTTCAACGGAAAAGCCTCACCAACCGAAGGTCATCGCTTCCACTTGTAAATATGAAGCTGAAGCTACTCGCACATGATTATGTCTGCAGCCTACAACCCTATTTTTATATCTTGGCTAACTTGAAGTGTGGATGATTTTTCATCTTGAAATAAAGTCATGACCCCTCCTTTTCCACCGCAATGACTGGTATTTAAATATGTCGCCCCTTCACTTCATTACGGAGCAAAGGAAATGCCTATTTTTAAACGTTTGCCCTGTCCTTCATTAATTGTCTTATGCCATCGAAATGGATTAAATACAATTAGACTTCCCGAATTGGTGGTTGGGGAATGTTGCTGATTAGCGGACGGACTTGCGAATCATGCATGCGGCAGCGAATACAGCACCTGAAGCAGCTGACGCGCCCGAAAACACCAATAAACAACAGCAAAACGGCACCTGAAGCGTAGTTGCGCTGATTTTGAGGCGAAACGAAGATACGTTTGACGATTGCAGCTTTCGCACTGGTGCGAGTAAACAGATCAACCACGGCTAACATCCACTGGTTGGACCTGGTCCGACAGCCCGCCTCTGGGACATCCTCCACGCCCTGTCAAACCACTACCGAGGGTCCTGCGCCGTGCTCCCACAGATCATCGTGGGCGACGCCTTCCAGTTCCTCAGGGACTGCCTGAAGGAGGGCCGCACGTTCGACTACATCTTCTACGACCTGAGCGATATCCCGGTGTCGCCGAAGCACGACCGCAACCTGTGGAACATGGTGCGGGACGTGCTGCATGACAGCATGGCGCTGCTGCCCGCTGGCGGCAAATACATGACGCACGTGAGTACCGGCCCTGGGCGAGCGCGGCGCTCGCGGCGGCGGGGCGCGGCGCGACCGGAGCTGGGACGGGGTGCTGTGAGGAACCGGCCGGGTCGCCTCCGGGCCGGAGTGCTCTGACGCAGCCTCAGGGGTGGGGCGGTAACTGGTGCCAGGGTCTGGTCGCTGACGCCCCGGACCAGGGGCTATCCGGCCGCGCCGCCGTCACGCGGTTATAGAGCTCTGTTTGGCTCCCCGGAACGGGGACGGCACGCTAGCCGCGTAATTGTGGTATCTGACCATGCGCCATTGATTCTGCTGTGTTTGTTTATCGGACACACCAGCGTTGCAGGCGCGACAGTACGTACCGAACGAAATCGATCACCTCAATTTAGTGTGGCAAGCACCAACATGATCGTCACAATACAACGAGATGTGTGCACTAAGCCTACACGTTGCGTTAGGCTTCGCGTGGGCTTAGGCGTTTGTCTGCGTGGCCTTTGCTTCGTTAGTTGCTTATTCTAAGTGCCTGGTAGATTCCCCGCACAAGCGACTCTTGATCGTGCCCCTTGGTACTGAGTTTGCACACATACTAATTACGCGGGGAAGTCCGAACGCATACTCAGCATTTGGGAAAGTGCTGCCTCTCATAACAACCAGACGAGAGCTTCCGTACCAGCTTAGCTCGAAGCCTGCGCCTGGCACGCCGTCCATACCGAGAAAAAACCTGTCTGTGTGATGTGCATCTAGTTAGATTCGTGTCGCGGAGCAACCGGACCGTCGTTAGCCTTTGTCACCAAAGTCTTTGTGCTGCTGTCGGCCTGTAGCGCCCGGCGTGAGTTAGTGCTCGCTCGCCGCGGGTCTGCCGCGCGTACGTCATTCGGCGGCGGAGCTCGCCGCTCGACTGGACGCGTCTCGGCCACCTCCGATTCACCGGCGGGTGGTCGTTTCCACGGCTGGCGGCACAGAAGCCGGGAACCATTGCCATGGTCCTCAGGAGGCGCGTCAGCCGCCGTGTCTGTACTCCACGCGGCGCCCCGCCCCTTCCCGGCTGGCGCGTCAGCCGCTGTGTCTGTACTCCACGCGGCGCCCCGCCCCTTCCCGGCTGGCGCGTCAGCCGCTGTGTCTGTACTCCACGCGGCGCCCCGCCCCTTCCCGGCTGGCGCGTCAGCCGCTGTGTCTGTACTCCACGCGGCGCCCCGCCCCTTCCCGGCTGGCGCGTCAGCCGCCGTGTCTGCACTCTACGCGGCGCCCCGCCCCCTTCCCGGCTGTCGCGTCAGCCGCCGTGTCTGTACTCTACGCGGCGCCCCGCCCCCTTCCCGGCTGCAGGTGCCGCGCCCGCCGCGCCGGCCCTATCGATTCCTGTCGGTGGAGCCACCCCCTCCCTTACCCCCGCACCGGCTGTTGGGCTTCTGAGCACGTTCTTCTCCCGCCGCCGGCATCCTGCGCGTAGTGGGCGTGGTGCGCTAGCGGCTGGTCTCGCGTTCGAAGGCCTGTCGCACGTGTCCGCGTGGCGGCTGCGACACCTGTTGACGGGCACGTCGGCCGTTCGGGGTGTTGCGACATGTGCCGATGGAGGGCGGTCTCCCGCCGCGGCCTGATGCTGTGCCGGTACACCATTCCGGGTGATGACCTCTTGGTGTTGGGGTAGTGGCTCGGCTCTGTGGTACTGTAGTGTCGGGGTGGTAAACATTGGTCGCACCCACGTCTCTGTCTGCATCAGTCCAGACATCGGTACCACTTGTACTTGCATCCGGGTTTTTCCCCCGTTTTTTATTTATTTATTTGCATTGTTCCTTTTTGGTCTTGTTCAGCCCTCGTTTTCAATACGACCGCGCGCAAAGGCTCTTGGTCAACTTCTTCGAACAATATCCATAAGGCCGTCGATGGCTGCGACGGCAGGTGGTCTGCGCCGCGCCGCCACGGTCGTGGCCCGCTGTTCTGCGCGTGACCGGCCCAGTAGGGCCCCTGACCTCCGGCGCGGGGCAGCGGGGCCGTCGGTCGGCTGAAGACGGTCGTTGACGTAGCCGCCGACACGCCAGGGCTCAGCGGCTGAAGCGGGCGGAAGCGCGCTGGGCTGCGTGTGGCGGCGACGACTCGGCACGGCGTGAAGTGTCCGTACGCCATTTGGTGGGGGGCTCCTGTTGGTCACGCGTAGGGAGTGCGCGCGCTCGTCTGCGGTCCTGGTCATACGTGAGTGTGCGGCAAATGGTCGTCTGTTGTTTAGGGATGGATCGGATTAGGGTGAGTCCCACCGATTAGGGTGAGTCCGGCCTGCGTCACTCGGAAGCGAAATAGCCACCCGTTTCTCAGGAGTGAAACGACTGCCGTTGGCCCCGGATGAAGTGACATTTCGGTGCTCCGGAATGAAGGGACCACGCATCGGTCAGCGGTTATCAGCCGTAGGTCAGGGAAGGCCATCCTTTGATTAAGCATGAAGCGATGATCCGTTCTGCCGGTGTGAAGTGTTGGCACAGGCTCACCTTGCATTGGTCCTGCTCACGAAATTTGGCGATATTCCAAATCCAAACATAGGTTAGTCACTATGTTTTCGGGCAGTTGCTAGGATGGGGGGGGGGGGGGGGGGGGAAGGGTCTCCCCTTCGCTTTCGGCAACCACGTGCTGCACGCGTCCGTGGTGTCTGGCTTGGTTATATAACACGAGCATGCTGACGAACATGTGGTGGGTGTGGTGATTGCATTTGCAGCGAGTGACAAACGGTAAGACTATGGGTCAGCTGAATACGGTCACGCCGCAGAAGGCTCTTTCATAATTGCGAATTCGCATGGGCCATTGGCTAGTCTGATGAATACTCTTTACTTGCTGCTATGAGCATAAAGCCACATGAGCACTCAGCGTGAAAGGGAATGCTCCACATTTGAGGATATTGGCGCAGGCATGAGATAGGCTGAAATAAGCTCATTTATAATTGTTGGTGTACTTTTCAGTGAAGAAGGCTGCTCCACGCAACAAAATTTCTCTCTGTAGTAAATATGTTCCTTAATACGCTTTGTTTCATTGCGTCATGAAACGTTTGTACGGCGTTAAGGCGCTGCCAAACCAGCCGGAAGAAATCACCACCCTTCTGCTCACCTGCAGTACTTCAAACCCGCTAGGAGATGGCAGCACGGTGCTGAAAGTGCTCGCTGAGCCAAGTATCGTGATGTGCTCGTGTTTTGGCCCTTTGTCATCGTGTTCTTGCATATTTGTCCGTGAGGTTTAAGAAGTTTACTTGTGTTCACATGCTCGGTTATAGCGCTCCTCGAAAGTAATTCGGTTACAAGCCTTATTTCTGCAATAGCCGAGAAGAATGCCCTACTTCTTATATTATGTAGCACGAAGGGCCATCTGAAAGCGCATTTTTTGCGGACTGTGCTGGATTTGCGGTGGATTCGCTGCTGTTCATGGTGTCATATGCTGAATTTGAGGACACAAGGTTTGAGCGGAGCGGTGGTCCGCCGTGGGCATGGGGCGTTGCATGGTCTATGCGGCAGCAGGAGTTCACTGGTGTGGTTAAAGTGTAACGTACGCATGAGTGGCATTTAAATGGTTGTCATGGTATGAGAGGCACATGTCCGCGAACGTGGTGCGCTGAAATTAGACAGTTTTTGGTCGAGGAAAAGGAGGGCCGTGAACTGCACCGAATGATCAACAAAATGGGTATTTCAGTTCAAAACCTCATACAAATGTGGAACACTTAGATCGTTGCTTGAAGTATGACACTGAATGAATATTCAGGCTAATACGTGAATTAGTTCCCGCACTTCGTTACGTCAGCGGGATCCGATTATAAACCGTCACGCACCAGCTAGCGAGGGGTCTTTGCGTCGGCAGCCCAGCTCTCCACCCGTCTGGCTCATGGCCAGTGCAGGTCGCTGGGCGACTGACTGACGCCCCTCTCCCGAGAACGTTCGTCAGCAGAGCGCTGCACGACTGGCTGACGCCCCTCTCCCGAGAACGTTCGCCAGCAGATCGCTGCGCGACTGGCTGACGCTCCTCTCCCGAGAACGTTCGTCAGCAGATCGCTGGGCGACTGGCTGACGCCCCTCTCCCGAGAACGTTCGTCAGCAGATCGCTGGGCGACTGGCTGACGCCCCTCTCCCGACAACGTTCGCCAACAGGTCGCTGGGCGACTGGCTGACGCTCCTCTCCCGAGAAGTTCGCCATCGGATCGCTGGGTGACTGGCTGACGCCCCTCTCTCGAAAACGTTCGCCAGCGGATCGCTGGGGAATGGGCCGTTGAATGCCACTCACCCGCCTGAAAAGATTCGCTTCGAGTGCCTCGCTTGTTAGTGTCCTCTTGAGTAGCCTCCCAGTTGTTTAGTGGTCTCTTGTTAAATCCTTTGTACGCCGTTTTCCAATCAAGAGTTTCGAGTTGGCGCCCTCAGTGCATGGAAGCGAAAGATGTCGGACGAACAGGGCGTCTCAGATACGTTGGCTGTTTTGTGGAGCCACGTGGTCAGCATAGCGAAAGTTTGCGTGCTCTGTCACTGTCGGTGGACCAGTCTCGGCTTCGGGTCGACTCCCAGTGCCAGCCGGTAGTTCAGGTGGTTTTGGGAAGTTCCTCATACGCTGCACGTTTTAACTTTGGACCGTAAATCGTGATGGTCTAGATCTCCGACGCCGTGTGGTTCATAAAATATTGGTCTCATGGGAACCCACGTCCACGTGGGTGAACTTCTGAGCCAGTGTCGTTCGTAGATGCGAGTCGATATGACGCTCACAACGCGTCTCAGGGATCGATAGGAACCTGTATGTGGCAGTGCCGACATGTGGGCTGATTAGAGCCTGAATCACGGGTTGGCTTGCAACGCAGGCTTTTTAACTCTGGTTTGTTTCGGTAGTTGCCGCGGCATTGCGGTGTAAAGACGGTCGGTCGTCGGTTAAGACAGGCTTCGATTCAGCTGCCAGTGTCTGTCGGAGTGGTGGCCAGGCCACTTTCATGGTTTGTCGGCCGACTGGGGCTGCGTGTGGCGCACGGGCTCCGCGCGGAGATCATCTTGTGATGGCCAGACCCAAGGCCG